ATACATTATATATATTTTTTCTTTTCATTTGAAGAGATGTGTTTTGCGGTAGTGCATATTACGTATGTATATGTGTACTTACAATACGAACAAATAATAATAGTTTTTTGCGAAGTATTTTTACACTAGATAACAATAAAAGTTGATTCGTATTGTAGATATCGATTTCGGTAGCTGAAAAATTTAAATTTATCATAACGAGACTAATACAGTACATACCTATTTACATACTCGTATACACCACGTCCCCAGTGGCACTAGTGCTCCGTGCCCAAATGCCCACTTTTACTATGTATCAACACCTTAGATAGTTTCGATACTTTAAAAGTATGTTAATCGTAAATTTAATAAAACTATATTAACCAATATAAAAATGCATTGAAAATAACTAATTTATTTACAATGCATGCCGAATCTATTTCAAATAGAGCACACAAACTTCGTGAGCTTGCAGGAAAGCGAAAATAACATTTTCGTTGACATTTATTGAACTTAACGAGTTTTCCGCCACTCGCTATTTTTAACGATTACTTCGCAACTTGTCATTTTGCCCTGTGGTTAACATTTTGAACATTTTCAATGCAGATGCTGTTACCTTCTTTTGCCTTTCAAAATATAAGGAATAAATTTCAACAAAACGTCTTCAACAATTGCGAATTAGTATTTAAAATAATTTAATTCATTTCACCTAGAAATTCTGGATGAAGAGCATTTTTCTGTTTTACTGAATATACAAATGAAAATAAATACATATTCAAATGAACTCTTATGAAAAGATTTTTTTTCTGCAACAACATAATTTTTAGACTTAAACTTATTTTGTAAATTTATATAAAAACAATATTTCTAATTTTTAAGGAATTTAGCAATAAAATAGTGAAAGTTTACCAAATGGTATGATGAGAAAAAAAATGTTATTCAAAAAAATTTCCAACCAAGAACAACAATGTGACAAAATAAAACAAAAAAGTACGTATGTAGAAAACAAAATATTTTTAGAGTTCACTCATGTTACGTAATTTTTTAATAGTTTTAATGGAAATTGATGATATTAAAATACACATATTTAATTGCAAGAAAAAAAGAAAACAATATGAAAATAAAATATAGTAGTATACATTCGTATATTCGCTTCAGACAATAAGCTTTGGCCACTTTTTAATGAAACAAAAATGCAAACAAAAAACTGTAACTATACAAGCAAACAATGCAAGAAGTTTTATTATTTGCAATTAAATTTTCAGAACTGTAGAACGAGTTGAGCAGACGAAAACGGCAGAAAGATTGAACAAAATTGAACCCCCAGAAAGAAAACTCAAATAAGTAGGTAAAGCTAAATGATTTCAAAAACCGCCTGCAAATTGTAAATTAAAACTAAGTGCTTAAATCACTTAAAGCAGCGTACAATCTGTGTGTGGGAAGGAAAACGAAGCCTAATTTTTACTAAAGAAACTTTACCTTTTTAGCGAACACAAAAAGAAACGAATGAAAGAGGGGCAGGAAAAGAAAAACGTAAAAGGCGAGCGTTAAGCATAAGATATACTTTGTGGAGGAAAAGGAATAATGTCTCCCATAAACAAAAAGAATATAAATATATAAAAAATGTTTCAGAATATTTCCAACACTTTCGAAATTGTAATGGAAGCGTTACAGTGTTTTGTTTAAAGACGGTAAATTATAAATAAATTATTTGAAATATGTACATATACCGCAAATGCACTAACACGCTTAAAATGCGAAAGCTCAACATGTATATGTACATATGGTATGTAGGTGTGTATGAAAACTCTGTGCAATCGCTATGAAAGCGTTCAATATGTATTTGTTTACAATCTCGAAAGTGATTTAGCATTAGACAACGTCCAAAATATTTATGTAGTTATATGTAATACAGCTCTGAAATTGTGCTATTCACATGCAATATTAAGCTATAGGTTTTCCTATACGACATTTGAAAGCGCAATTTCGGTGCATTAACTGAGGAATTAACATTTTACTAACTTAAACTTAAATGACCTGCGTTGAAATCACTGCATTTTTTCTTTTGAAACGAATTGAATATTTTTGTCAACAAACTTTTTTCAGAAAACTCAAATGCCCTTTTTTAATGCCAACATATCAAACAAATTTAATAATAGTTTTTAAAAAAAAATTAAATAGTTAATAAAATAAATTTGTAAACTCGAAAGAGGTTCATCAACAATCCCAAGGAATGACATTGGTCAGGGATGATTTTGGGTGATGACGAATATTAAAGTGTAAAGAAACTAGTGATGAATGTGCGTAGAATGCTTAACTTTATAAACTACATATAATTATTGAATATTATATACATGAACTCATATACACATGCATACATGTACACATTTAGATATCAAAAGCTTTTCTGACAAATTTATCGCCAATATGTAGTAAAATAAAGAAAAAAAAAATATTGTAATTAATAAGGAAAAACAATTGTTATGAGCAAAGCATTCAATCCAAATAAAAACAAACGAAATGACGAAACAAAGTGTAATGTTGATAATGTATATTGTATTTTCTGTACTTAAGAAGGGTATAGCACTGTTTCTAATTTACAAACAAAAAGCTAAAAATTAAAACAAAAAAATATATATACATAAATATTTTTTTATTATAACAGAAAGATAATGGCTTCAATGTTTCTTTGGATTAAACCAGCAATAAATACATGCACCTACATAAATGCATGTAAAAAACAAAAACAAAAAAAAAATTCAGATGAATTGTGTAAGCGAAGCCTTTTAATATTTATAAATAAATTATAAACATGAACATAAATACCATGTAAACAGACATACAAGACAACATACATATACTTCGGCATGAATATTTAAACAAGTTTATGTGTGAAAGCATAACACTATGTAAAGTAGAGACAAAATTATGCGGGACAACAACTTAAATAACAACAATTAATAATCGGAAAACATATACATACCTACATATATATACAAGCATTACATACAAACATGCATACATATGTATAAACAAACATATATTTATTGTATATACAAGACAAATGTATGTAAACCCACAACTATTTAAACAATTTTATGCAATTATAGAAGCAACAACAAAAACAAAAGAAATAATATACCTTTATTTAAGTAGCTGGGGTTATTGTAATTAACTTTTAAATAAAACAAATAATTGAAAAACACAAAAAAAATATAAAAAAACCATAAAAATTAGACAAAAAAAGAGAATTTTATTGAACAAACATTTGTTAATGTTTACACCCACAATTAAAAGAAAAACAAAACAAAAAAATAAAACCAAACTTATTAACAAATGTGTAATTGTAAATGATTTATGAAATCGCGTTTGTTTCATTTTCAAGTGTCAAAACTATAAGAAACTTATCTGAAACAAATGTAATGCATATTTCAACGCCAAATTGAACAAAGTGAGTTTACTGCGTTTTTGCTGATTATTTCTATTTAAAAACATATAAAAAAATGCATACAATGCCAAAAAATCGTATTAACAGAAAAAAAAACAAACAAAAAATATAAAAATTAAAAAAAGCAAAAAAAAAATATCTTTACGAATTATTCATTGAAAATTATTGCTGTGTCTTAGTCCATTGCCCTAACGAATTTATTGAAAAAGCAAAATTTAACAATTTTACACCCACAAATATACACACACCGGTGTAATGGAAGGAATGTGTTAAATTCGGCACAAGAAATACTAACTGTATGTGAAACAATAGCAACAGAAATCAATAAGTGAAAACAACAAAATGAATTTGTAGAACAAGCAATTATTTATTAGCAACAAATATAAATTTTTTTTTACTTTCTACAAGAACTTTTAGAAACTAAATTACGAATCTAAAAATTCTCACCAAAAATATATCGGCGAAATAGTGTGGTTAAACCCGTATACCCGTATATACTCAAAAATTGTTATTTTTAGAAGAAAAAATGTGTTTATTTACAAAAAAAAATCAAAGAAAAAGCAATTAATGTACTGAAACAAAACTAGAACTTTTAGTTTTAATGAAAACAATAACTATTACAACTGCAAGAATACTCTTTATGATAGATTTATGCTGTTAAATTTGAGGTTAAGCACAAAAGGATACACATAAAAACGTGAAGCCTTACTGCAATTGTATTCTTCAGCAATTGAAATACATACCAAATACTTAAATACCACACCGAACTTTTGATATCTGGACATAAGTCGGTTTATTTCAGCTCAAACCTATAATTGTACATACACACATACTTCCAACAGAATTTTAGTATGGTACTGAACTTCCTAAAACACAAGTATACAAATATTTAATATTAAACTCTTATTTTACTAACAATTAAGAAAATTATTATTATTTTTTTTTTAATATTAAAAAGGCATTGTGTTTCAATGCTGGTGATTCGTTAATCAGGTTATATAAGGCTACGTTCCCAAAATCGATAAAATTTATGTACATGCTTAAGTCTTACTAGCCCTTACATATACGCGTACTACCGCTTAGCTGCTACACATTCACTCACACATAAGAACAAATCAAGTTAACCCCAATCTTTTACACCACTTTATAAAGCATAAAAACCCCAAAAAAAAAAAAATATATTAATAAAATATCTAATAAAAATCTCAAAACGCTAAGATATGAAAGTGAGCCGAAGAGCGAACATAAACTACAATTAGTCCTTTGTAACTAAATATACTCATCTACACTGGGAATATACTAGTACTTACATACATACATATATTACTAATGCTTGCATTGTGTTGTATGTAAATATATTTATGCTGGAATACATACAATACATATTTCTATACTCCAAAACCAAAAACAAAAAATCAATAAATAAGAAAACAAGAAAACAAGAACTAAAAAAAGTGTGTGTTTAAAAAAAACTACATTCTTAACTACTAGCCAATAAAAAGTCAAGTTGCAAACCATTCATTACGAAACACAAAACTAAAGAGAAGGCGGCATTATTTAAACATATGCTGGCACACAGTTGATATACTTTCTGCTAAACCCAGCAACTTAAAGATTAAAAATAAAAACAAAAAACAGTTTGACTTTAAATAAGCGAAAACCAACATTTTAAAGGGCAAAAATGAAAACCTAAAAAAACAATAGAAAATTGAGAAGTGAGATTAACGGAAATCATACTTATATACATATTTATATTAATTATATATACATTCATAAAAGTATATATACATTCAATATACATATATATATATATATATATATAAACATACATATATAGTATATACATATTATATATATACACACATAGTTTGGATGTTTATGTATTCGAGCATTATCTACAAACAATTTTATTAAATAATAAGTACACACAATTAAAAGCGAAAAGCGTAAAACCAAATATATATACATACATATAAAAAAAAATCATGGTGCAATTTCCACACCAAAAAAAAAAAAAATAACAAAAATGTACTCTTTAAATTGTGTATTGTATTGTTCCATATTATAAAAGAAAACCCATAAATTATTTCAAATTTAAAAATCACAAAATTGTGTGTTCTTATTTGCCATTGCGGAAAGTGTGGTGAGTTAACGGTATTTATAAATTTATTCCCTGAACACCAAAGATGAACATGAGGAGTTTAATCGTTGAATATAACCTTCTATTACATTTTCAGCAGTCCACGGAAGTTGAAGCAGTTTGCTGGATTGGCCCTTTAATGGGTTGTACTGAAAACAGCTAAGTTACAAACCATAGTCATCCCGCCGTGGTAGTTATTCCTTGACTTTTCGGAGCATTGTTCTTCAGTCACGCTATTGCTAAAGAAAGATTTTCAATGATGCATAATGGACTACAAATTTCCTCATCTTGCATTAAAGAGTTAATTTCATCGATTCGGTCATCTATTTGAACGTAGAGTTTTTGTTTTTTTTTACAGGAACTCAGCACGACGATTATAAAAAAAAATACATTCAAATGATATTTGATAAAATTATCCCCTCTGCCGATGAGCCGAAAAATAAAACAAGATTTTAAAGATTCACTCAAGTTGTTTTAAATATTCGATATAATAGACATCGCATGGATCTTACCTTACATTAGCACAAGGTTCGGTTTAACAACGGCATGATCAAGACAAATCAATTTGGCATTTTTATTTTTTACACTCAGGGCCGGCTGTCCATATAGGGAAGTAAGACAATTGCCACCGGCGCAAGAAATTTAGGGTGACATTTTGGCTAATATACTTTACAGATTGTTAAGGCAAAATAGGATTAGAAATGGCGAAGAACTGTGATATCTTTCGAAACTAATCAGTGATAAATAAATATAAATCTAGGGAAAAAGATGAATGATTCTTGAATTATAAATGGTATACCTAACCTGACTTTGTTTTATTTATTATCTGATCAAAATTGACTCAGACTGATTTAAACTGCAAACCAATCCGTAAAAAATTGTTTCGTATATTGATTCAATTCATGTTCATATAAATCTTCATACAGGGTTTGCCCGGAAAGAAATAGCACTGATTTTCTTACGCCGCGACCGCACTTCGGAGCGTGCGAACACCGACTGGATTCGGTAGAGGGCCTTCCTATCTAACGAACGAGCGTCCGAGCACCTGAAGAATCAGCACAAACATTTTCTCGCGACGTGTTTCTGATGTCGAGTGGTGCAAGCCAAAAATGCAGCATTAGTTAGAGCAGAGGTACGCGATTAAATTCTGTGTTAAACTCGGCAAATCTGCAGCAGAGACGTTTGATATGATCAAGCAAGCTTACCTAGATATTGCTTTAGCAAGAAGTGGTGTATTTCGCTGGCACCAGGCCTTTTTGGCCGTTAAGAAGTCACTGATGGAGACCTGCGACTCGGACAAACTCAAACGGTGGACTAAGTATTCGTTTAATTGTCCAAATATATCAAAATATTTGGTTCACTGACGAACAGAAATTTGAAAATGTGAGAAAGTGACCCCCAATTTTTTTATAACTTTCTCTTTGTTTCCTTGCTTGAAAAGGCCGATGAAAGGTAGACATTTTGAGACGACAGAGGGAATCCAAACAGCATGCACGTCGGATTTCAAGGCTATTCCGGAGAATGCTTATGTGACGCCTTCAGTGTTTGGAAATCGCCCTGGCAGCGCTGCATTGACGCAGAAGTAACCTATTTTGAAAGTTTTTAAAGAATTGTAAAGGTTGATTCAATAAATTTTTTTAAATCGACTCAAACTTATTACTTTCCGGATAAACCCTTACGTACAGGAGACACTGAAGGCCGTCTTAGCCAAAACTAGTAACAAGTGTATAGAAGATTGGATTATGCGTTGGCTTGCTTGTATTGACTCACAAGCACAAGCCTCTGAAGGCGATGCTAAAGATTTTTATTAAAATACTTGAGTGTTTTTTTTTTTAATCCGAGTCATATTTGATCATATGGTAGATTTCTTTAACATTTCACAACTAAACATAAAGTCATTCTGATCATTTCAGTTAGCGATACAGAATCGCTATATTTTGCCAGCTAACTTTAATAGCTGCAAAAACTCTCATCCATCTTTGAAGCGATAATTTATAATTAACTTGCGCATTGCCGTGAATTATATTTAAAGGCAATGTTCAGAATGATGTCGTGACCTCTTATAAGGAAAGTGCCAGAATAAAAACTTTTGCATTTGACTAATTTTGAATTAAAAATAAAAGCAAGAAAA